CTCTGGTGATTGATGTGAGTCCAGAAAGCAGTTAGGAAAATGTGCAAGATACACTTGGTTCACTTTCATGACATTGATTTCTGTATTGCATCCAAGTAGCGTAGTAATTTTATCTTAAATGTATTTCAAAATTTAAAAAAAATTAAAAAAAATATCATGAAGATTGAGCTGTTGAGTGAGGAAATTCAAAAACTTCAACAGCTGACCTTAACAGGATATTTGTTACCCCATTGTGTTGTCTTTTGTCCTTTTAGTTTCTAGGTGTATCACACTCACATCCTGCTACACTAACGCAGATGAAATTACACAACAGATTAAATAACTCGAAGAAAAACCCCAAACTCAACAGGATGAAACACTATTGATAGAAATGAATTTACATGAACATTAACTTCTGAAGCTTTCTGGCTTTCACAGATAGCTACTGCCAAACAAGCTCAGGTGGGTTAACTTGCCATAATAATTCATGGTAAAAGAATATGGGCAGAGCTGCAGTCCATTGCATTTAAAATCAGACAATATTAAACAGCACATAATTGACTTCCAGAAATATTAATTTTTAAAATCCATAACAAATATTCTCATCTAGATCTCCATTCACGTCTTAATATGTAAGAAAAATATTCTAATATATATACACAGGTGAAAACACTATTCAAAAAACAATCTAATTTTCCACAAATTGATGCCAGGTCATTATGTAGTCATGAACACTGTACACAATGAAGTCCTCAAGAGGGCATTCACATGAAGTAGGCTAGAAACCTGTAATTAATTAGAGTACTTCTGGTTAATGTCTGAGTCCCTTTAAATATCTGGAAACTCCAAGAATGAGAAAAGAAATACTAGTTTGTGTATATGAGGGAAGCAGCTGTTCCTCATATTTGCCTAAGGTGAGAAAGGCTGAGGTGATTTTGATTTGATTTTTCAAAAGAAAAAAACAGACCCTGGGCCCTCCAAAATTTATTTTGAGAGATTTTCAATCTAGTAGGCTTCCCTATTCCCCTGGGGTTTTCAAAGACAATTTCTTTGTCAAAAGTTATTTTCCTATTGATAGGTAGACCTGGGAAGGCTCTTTAATTTATCTTTATTATGAAAATTAATATAATTTGTGTAACAGTAGAACTGAAAACCTTTTGAAATGAGTGGAGGGTTGATCCTGGCTGGATACGAGGTATTCAACAAAGCTACTCTAAAACTCTCCCTCTCAACTAGACATGGGAGAGAAAGGCTCATGATTTGAGATAAAGTCAATGAGACTAGCAAACCAATTACCAACTCAGGCAAAACAGACTGAATTTTGTCATTAGTTGAATTTAGGACCAAGAAAATCAAATCAGGATAACAAGAAGAAAAATCTTAAAAACACTTTCCCCCACTTTTCTTCCTTCCTAGCTCTACTTTCTCCTGCAATGGTGCTGGCAGAAGAAGAATGGGGGTTATGATCAGTTCATCAGACATTTTTTCTCCCAGTGCTCAGGGAGAGAAGTCTTTCCCATGCTCCAGTGTGAGGTGCCTCCTACAGGAGACAGTTCTCTATTAATTTCTCCAGTGTGAGCTCATCTCACAGGAAGATTGCACTCTTCCACAGGTGCAATCCATCAGGCACAGCCTGCTCCAGCATGAGATCTCACAGGGTCACAAATCCTACCAGGAAACCTGCTCCAGTGTAAGCTCCTCTCTCCTTGGGTCTGCAGGTCCCTGCCAGGTCCTGGTCCAGCACAGGCCTCCCATGGAGTCACAACCTCTTTCAGGCATCCACCTGCTCTGGTGTGGGTCTCCTTCACAGGCTGCAGGGGGATCTTTGCATCCATGTGATCCCCTGTGGCTGCAGAAGCACGGCTGCCTCACCATGGGCTGTGCCATGGGCTTTAGGGGAGTCCCACCTGCACTGCCTGCCTCATCCCTCCCCTTCTTCACTGACCTTGCTGTCTGGAGAGCTATTTCTCGTACATATTCTCACTCTGCTCTTCTCTGGCACAATAACATCTGCCCAATAACTTTTTTCCTTCTTAGATATGTTATCAGAAGGCGTTACCATCATTTCTGATTGTCCCAGCCTTGGACAGCAGCATGTCCATCTTGAAGACATCTGACACTGGCTCTACCAGACATGGAGGAAGCTTCCAGTGCATTCCAACAGAATCCAGTAGCTCCCCCACTCCCAAAACCTGGCCATGCAAACCCAAGACAATTTCACATATTATTGTATTTAGATACCAGTTAAGCACACAAGATACCCTGCTTTAAAAATGAAATGGAAAACAAAGCAAAACAGAACCTATGCAAGCAAAAATTGATTAGGAAACAGTTACTTGATGGAGTCCTGACATACTGATGGACTCCTGAAGAATTTGTATTGCAATCATTAGGACTTTGACAGCAGAGCCACTAACAAACACTACAAGCTGAGTCTTCAGTGCTTGAAGGTTCTCCTTCAGCCTCAGGCTGCAGTCTTATTAATTTTATTTCATTCTGTTAGCAGATTTTGAATAGAAATTCAGACTTACTGACCCTTTTCCTCACTGCGTGGTTCTAGAATACCTAAATGTTTACTAAGCAGAAAGGTCATAGAGTGACAATAAATTTGTGGTTACCTGTAATACCATTTATACCAAGCCATTTCCCGTCAGTGGACTACATTTTAAAAATTTGTTTTGAAGTTCAACAGTTAAACCAATTGCTTGCCCTTACTTGCCTGCCTGCATTTTCCAGCTACCAAATTGTTGGCTGCATGCTAGGTTTTATCCTCTAATAAGAGAAAGGCACATGTTCCTTAAAAGGAAATCCCATGCTGCTGCTCTGTTGTGACTCAGCTAATTTGGCAAGAAATGAATTTACTCCATTTCCATATCAGATCCACATCAACCAGTACTGAGCCACATGGATGACAGTGTTCAAAGGATTGCAACATTTAATAGAGCCACAAGCAGTATGGAGATCAGTGCAAGTCTTACAACTCACATGAGGCAATTAGCTTCACTAAACAGTAAATAAACAAATAATGTAATCTTTATCTGCAGAAAACCTATCAGAAACTGTTGAAAAACAAAACTGGAACGATTCAATTTGAAAGGTGTAGATGAAAATCTCATGTACTACATGAGGTTGACTTGTGCATAAGCTACCAATGTTGGTTAAGAAATACAACAATACTGCTATGCAGTCCTTTTTAATCCAATATTTAATGCCACTGGACATCTTATACACCCATCCCTCATACAATATGTCAGGCAGGGCACTATTCCTGATCACTGTGGGCTACAAAGCAGGCTTCTCTGTCTTCTCCTTGTATCATTTGGAGGGAATCCCAGAGAGCTGTTGGAAAATGAAAGCTTATCCAGCTCCTGGAAACTTCTGGGAAAGGAAACAGGGCAGTTTTGGATGCACAGGGGGCATTACCTGATTCCATTCCTCTGGTTTGTAGAAGTCACTGTTCTGCATTAGTCACTGTAGTCTCTGAGTGCTTTTTACTTGCTGAGCAATTGAAGTAATGCCTGTTCTTGTAGGGCTTTTTTCTATGTTTGGGTTTTAAAATCGTTTTCCTATGGGATTGTTGTGTGATGCAGCATTTTGTACATGATTAAAAACACAGTGGGCTGTTGGAGAAGGAACTGACAAAGAAGTGCATCTTCCAGCAGGAGCAGTAATGAGGGTATAACTTATTGTCTGGAGAAGTACTTTTTGCAATCTTAAGTATATCTTTCAAAAGCCATCTTTGTAGATATGCATTACAAAAGGTATTTTAGGTACTTTCTACTCTCTCTCAGAGGAACAGTATCAAATGGATGTCTGGAACAGGACAATCTTGTGCTTCCTGTTGGGGCCCTCAAAGCCAAGAGGTGTCTTCTTTTCCTAAGTTATATTTCCCCAAAGGGGATGAATTAGAAGTGTGTCGTTTTGCAAGCTAGGTCATACACAAACTTGTATTTACAGGTGTTTTTTCTTCCATTCTCCAGGAAGGAGGCAATCACTCATATGACTTCAGGAAATAGATTTCAGAGAATGACTATAAAAAATTAAAACATTTCCTTTAAGACTGTTCTTTGTGTCATATACTCAAAGGAAAAGCTTGGCTTTTTAACCAAAATATGTTTTTGTCCAAGGCAAGGCCTACTACACAAAGAAAAGGAGAAAAAACATTATGACAAATGTACTTACTAAACAGTATGAATTTTACACATCCTACTACAAAAGTAGAAAGAAAAGTGAAATACATGCATAGATTTGACTAACTCCCTAGTGTTGTAATTTGCAAAGGTTTTGCAAATAATTCCCTACTTCTGAACAGACAATATGCTTTGATTTTAATTTCAGCTGAAAATGATAAATCAAAGGACAACTATGAGAATTTTTGAAGGAAATACTACAGAATTATTTATGTAATTTTCAACATTTTGAACATAAAAATGAAACAAAGTCTATATCCTGGCCAGCACACTAATCTCAGAATTTGGAACACAGAAATAATCAAGAAAGTAAAACTAAGTCTCTTACACAGATGGCAAGTTTGTAACTTGCTTTGAAAAGCAAACTAAATTTGAAGTTGCTACATCACCTGAAGAAATAATGTTTTTTGTATAATTAGTGGTATTTTTGTCCATTGTTTGGGAATATATTTACTAAGTTTATTGTTTAGCATCTATGTTTTTGGATTCTGTGGTTATGCCTGTGTCACTACACCCTACACATGAGGGTATTCAGAGAGTGTGAAGACGGAAAATAGGATGTGTGAACAGTATGGACGTAAACGGTACTTAAATCCCTGCGACAGGTTGACACTGGTGTCCAAGCATATTAACATGCAAATGTATGGACACTGTATGATCATCTAGCAAAGAAAAAGGGAAAGGAAGTGCTTAAATGGCAGTTAGATGCTAACCTGAGATGTTCAGAGTTTTTGAGTGCAGATGCCTTTTAAAGGATTTGTTGAAAATTGATATAGTAGAAAGAACTCTGATGAAAGTAATGAACAATGCTGAACAAACCAGTGAAAAAGGTTATTTCATAGGATAATTCCGTTTATTGTTACATTATACTAAAACATGTTTAATTATAATAGAAGACAAACAAGAATGCCAGGTATCATTAGATAAGCTGTAAAGTTTGGACTCCTAACACAGATTGGACTTTCAAAATCTAAGCAAGTGATGATGCATTTTATCACTCCAGAGGCTGAGAAATTTGGCAGGACCAATTACACCTGACCCTGACAAACTACTGAAACTTAAGAATATAAAGAGTCAAATTCTTTTGCATTTGCATGGATCTGTCCACAGAAATCTTGATGAACAGAGGCTTGTGTCATGCAGTGAGCCCAAGCAATGTAGTACACTACTCTCCTATCCTTTGAGTGGTCTGGATATCAGTGGCATATTAGGTAATTATGTTTCAGAGGCATCAGAATATTTTTATTTTGGAGTTTCTTTCTTTTCTCTTCCTGGAAGAAGTTTCCAGTGTCACTGCAGCATGTTTGTGTGAGTTTTCCAAACTGCAAGCTGAGAAGAGACATTAAACATGAAAAGCAAAATATTAGAGGATGTAATACTACAGAAAATCTTTGAGATGAAGGACTAGATATAATAAAAGAAAACATGCTGTAATTGACTTTATTTCAAAATCACCAGGTATCCATTACACTGTACATTCAATAAAAGCAAAGCAATGTACCCACTGATATAATTTCTAGTTCTGAAACGGCTTAGATTTTCTGAGATGATCTTAAAGGACATGAGACCTGTGAGATGATGTTATAGCAGATATTCTTTTCTTCTGTACGGAGCAAAAAATCATGCATCACATCATAGAAATGACAGTGACATGACAAAGTAAGGTTGTCCTTAAAGAATTACATTTTGACAGTGCCAAATTTCTAGCTGACACATAAGAACCTGCTTTGAAAGCAAGAATGTAATGAGTGTGAGTCTATCAGCAGTCTGAGACTCATAACCCATCACACTTTTACACAGTTTTTTAATTCTTCCCTGTCTCAACTTGTGTTTTTCTTTGTCTAACAGACAACTCTGTGTTCTGGAGCCTCCAAGTGAAGCATATTTACTTGGCATGGACAAGAAAACAAGGAACAAACTCATCACACAGGAAGTGACAGAAAAGTGTGCATTTCAGAAGTCAGAACTGTGCAATAAATCCCAAGAAGTGGGACTTGGTATTAGCACAAACACACAATTTGCTTAAAGAATAACCGTACATTTTTACTTTGGCCCAGCTAACACACTCACCACTGTGCAGGCAGACCGCAGCAAAGCCGCACTGCTTGTTTACCGGGCTGAACAAGGCCAGATCTGTCCCTGACGCGCACTGGTGCCAAGCCCTTCGCCTCACCGCGGCGCAGCTTTAGCTTCAGACTGGGGGCCAGGAGCCCCGGCTGCCCGCCGGGCTGCCGAGCAGCAGCGGGGCAAGGAGCGGCACTCCCTGCTCGGCAGCGGCTCCGCTCCTCGCGCCGACAACCCCCTAGCGGAACCTGACAGAGCTCCAGATGAGTTTCCATCTCGAGCACAGGGGCGACTCTTGGGGATGGTGATGCGTAGGGCCAAGAGCTGGACGCGATGATCCGCGTGTGTCCCTTCCCTTTCCAAATCAGAGAATGCTGTGAGTCTGCGACGAGGGGCCTGCCGCCTCCACAGGAGAGCGCCGCCAAGCCCGCCCCGCGGGCCCAGGGCCGCCGAGGGCCGCCGAGGCCGGGACGCCGCGGCCCGCCCCGGCCCGGCCCAGGCGCTCGCCGGGCAGCGCGGCGGGCCCGCCCCGCCCCGCCCGCGGCCGCGCGGTGACGTGGCGGCGGCGGCCCGCCCAGCCGGAGGCAGCGGCAGGAGCGCGGGTCGGCGCGGAGCTGCTGCCGCGTCCCCGGCCGGCGCCGCCGTGCATGGGGAGGGAGCGGGCGGGACGCCGCCTGCGCGCCGCGCTGCACAGCCGCCGCCGCGGTGAGTTGGGCCGGCAGCGCCCGCCCGCTGGCGGGCCGGGGCTGGCGGGGTGGCGGCTGCACCGCCGCGCCCCGTCCCGCGGGCGGGCTCAGCCCGGCGGGGGCGGGCGGGCGCCCGGACCTGCCCGCCGGGCGCTGCGGGCGGGCACCGCGCTGGCTTCCTCCTGCCGTAAACACGGCTCCGGGGGCGGGCCGGGCCGCCTGGGCGGTGGGGCAGCTGGAGTGTGGCCGCCGCGCCTCTTCGGTCGAGCTGCTGTGTGTTGCGGGAGAACTTCCTCGCGAATACTTATTTGTGGCGTTAAAAAAAAATCTCTTCGCAGAAGGAGGGCTAACAGTTACGAAAAACCACATTTGTGGTTTTTCTCTGTAAGTCCCTACTGAATTTTCTTCTGCGTGGGGAAGTGTTCCGTTAGGTGTGGGTTGTGAATTAATGGATTTGATTATTTTTCGGAAGATAATTTTTCTTTTAAGAAAAGAAGTTTAGATTAAACGTCCTTAGATTTTTTTTTCTTTTTTCTTTTTGTCACTGAAGTCTAATTAGAACCTGATCGTGGCATTGTCTTCAGATTTCTCACTTCTGCAGTCGGCGACAGGTGAGAAAATAACATCTTCCTTGGTTATTCATAAATAGTTTTATGCTGAGAATTGTTGACTGTATTCCTTTTGGTTGCTGCACAGAAGGAAACTTAATTGGGAAGCTTGCCATGGCTGTTAGTTTTGAGTGTAATTTTGCACTTGAGATTATTTGCTTCATGTGTTTCTGGCATCTTAGCTCTGTAAAGTTGACTAATTTATTATCTACTGCATTTGTTCTACTGCTAGTTAAATGCAATGTGTATGTAACTGGGTGAGAGAGAAGTATTTCTTAAGTTTCTGTTTTATGGAAAACCAGTATTGACAGAAGACTATAGAGATTCTGTGCACACTTAAAGGTGTTTTGGATCAGTTATATGGATTAACTTTCTTTTCCTTCCCTGCATCTGTCTTCTTCATAATGGATATGGTGCTAATACTGTAGTGATGTTCTTTTGGCATGCTCATTTTTCTTCCCTTTCTAGGGTTTGTGGCAGTAATTTGAGGATTCAGTAGGAATACAGTAGCCACTACTGTGTTCTGCTTGATGAGAATGCATCCAGAGTGACTTACATGGTGTAAATCTAGACTCTTGAGTTAAACAAATTCAGTATTACTGTATGAAATAGCAGGGATTTTAAGTTGTGATGGACTTTCCAGAGAAGCCTAAATTTGACCTATTTACAGATTTTCATTTCTTGTAAGCACCAACGACAGCAGCATGGGGAAGGAGTATTTGCTGCTGGGAAGGGAAGTTGTAATGAGTGAGAAGTACATGGAATGCAGAAAATGGTCCAACATCCTTGTTGGTTGAATCAGACTGACTGGAGCTGCAGAATGGAAAATGAAAGGAGGTTGCTACTGCTTTTTACTTGTAGCTGTTCAAAGTGATGATTAGGCTAATAAAAAGTTGAAATCTCTGTAGAGTAACCATTTCCAAACTATGTGGAGGTAATGTTGTGCACGACCACAGAATAGATTTAAAGTGAATGTTACTGCCGTGTTGTACTAGCAGTGGCATCCTCTTTCTGAAGTTAGAAGAAAAGCAATTGCTGAATGAGGTTGTTGCTTTGCCATTGGTCTCTTTTATTTCAGTTTTGGGGCATCTTTACAGTATGACCTTATGTAAACGGAAAGCAAAGTGACAATGTTTGCAGTTACAAGAAATAATCTGAGATCTCATCTGAAAGATCCTTAAAAGGGAAATAAACAAAATTCAGAAATTCAGTAGTATTTAACAGAGACAGTAATTAAATGGTGTTCATTATGAATAGAAGAGTATCAAAAATTACAAAACTTGCAATTAAAAAGCAGTTAACAGAATAATAAAATGAGTATTTGTTCTGAAAAATAGTGTTCTTAAAAAAAAAAAAAAACAACTGGAAGAAGGCAACCAAAATCTGGTGGTTTTTTTAGAAAAGTAACTGGAACTTTATGTAGGAGGTTGAACTAGATGACCTCCTGCGGTGCCTTTCAACCCGAATTATGCTATCCTAGTGCTCCTGTGCTATCCTAGTGCTCCTTACAAGCTGGCATTTTTCTTGTAACACCCCTGCGCTACTTTTTACCTAGGCTTGCATGCAAATGTTATCAATGTCATTAGGCAAGTACACAGCTATATTTTTTCATTTGACTTAATAGAGCTGCTGTTTCAAAGCCTCTGACCCTGGCTGTGCACTGATTTTGGTGGGTTCTTTATGTATTCATATGTCCCATGGAGTTCTCAGCATGAGGCCAGTAAGATGACTAATATGAGTAATACTGGCATGATCTGAGTCAACATTTGAGCTCATGCTTACGTTTGTATTTCTTTAACTTGTTTCATTTACAATTTCTTTACCAAAATGTCAGTGAGGAGCTTTCTTCAATTTCTGAATATGAGATTTTAAAATTATTCTGTAAGCTATATCTGTCTTCATGCAGATGTGAAAAACCATACAAAAATGTAAATATACTAAGAAGCTTGCTTTTAGTAGTTCTGCTGAAGGAGCAGTAATCCAGTTTTATTTGCTGCACACAAATAGATACTTTCTGCTGCATACTGTGTTCATCTAGAGAGTAAATTGTATGTCTCACTTAAATTGGTTGTGCTTGTCAGTACAGTGACAGCTGCAAGGTACAAGGGTAAGGTAGGTTGTCACTGTCAGTTGCAACTTGTAAGATGCTCAAGGAAAAAGGGTGATGCCTCACTCAAATGTCAGTCTCTGTGAGTTGTGCAGTACTGGATGCAGAGAGGTCTGGTTCATGTGGACAATTATAACCCCCATGTGTTATGTAGAATGACTTGCCTAGAAGGCAATTGTCCATCTAGTTTTGGTTATGTAGTTACTGTTTTTACACAGTATAAGCTGAATCTTTAAATCTGATTTGTAGAAAAAAACTTGTCCAATCTGGTGTAGGCACCTAAAATCAATAAAAACATTGTCCCTTTCTGAGGTGAGTTGTCTTTGCATCTGTCTTTGACAATAGCATTACATGGTTCCTTTTGTTGTTAGTAGATTGCTTTTTAATCGTGGTTGTACGTGTCCATTTATTAGGAAGGGAGACGTTTGCTCTTGCTGCTTAGATTTTCTGTCATCTTGGTTTTCTTCTGTTTTTGTGTGGTGTTTTTTTTGCGGGGTGGGGGAAGGGAGGTGTATGTGTGTATCTTCTTTTTTCTTAGAGTCTTTAGTATTTGTTCATAGCTCATACAAATCAATGAACCCATTCTGTGTTTTTTGTGATGTCACAAAAGACAGTATTTCAGGTGAATTGAGAATGTTTTCAATACCTTTCCTCTTTCCATCTGAACACTTTTTCTTGTCTCATATGTGCCTGTATTAAGCAGAGATTCTGCTGAGCTGCATATCCTGTAAGTTGTTGTTTTGTTTATTTGCTTACATTTGACTTAATATTTAAGGTCATGTGGGAATAACTGCAAGTTATTCTTTCAGGGGTTTATTATTTTATATTTATTGAGATCAGATGTTATCTGACATCTGTTTTTTTTGCTTGGCTAGCTCTCAGTTTTGATCCTGCTCAAGTCTCAGGTTATCAAGTAAGCTGGTTATCACCAAATTTGTTTTTAGGCTAGGACTTTGAAAGTGTTTACATGCTTGCATAAGTATGTATGGTGTGGTATTTTTTGCTCTGTGTGCAGCCCCATATGGGATCTTTTCTGATGTTTACCCCTGTTCTTAATCTATGTGTTGTTTGTGGTGTAAGGTTTTTTATTGACAGTTCAGCTGAGCTGATTTAGCTGGTATTACCTTTATCATGCTGCTTATGAGCAACTGCAGTAGATTTCAGGACTTAAGAAAGTCTTTTACAGATGTTTTAAGTAAATGGATTTATTATGCATGTTCAAAGTATTGTGATTAAAGTTATTAGCATGTATCATTAAAACTTTTTAAATTCTTCTTTATGTGACTTCATTGGCCTCAAGGATTTATTTTTGTAGTATTTAGTGAGAGTAACTATCAAATCAGTTTTTTAGACTTTTTTTTTTTTGCACAGTCTCTATCATCCTGTTCACCAGAAACAATGCAAGAATTTTGAGGGATTTTTGGTGGGTGGATAATATCTTAGAGGAATAGTGTTACTGTGGAGGTCTAATATGCTTTAAATGAGTATTTTCTGTCTCTGATATCCGTTAATCTTGTTTGACTGCAAGGATTTCATAGCTGTGACAAAAATGTTCATCCCTATTCAGTATGTCATAATATTGGCTATGGCTTGGGTTTCTAGTACTGTCAGATATATCTAAAGTAAGAAACCTTTGCCTTCTAAATATCCAGTGTTGATACATGAACATACAGTTTATTTGGTACCTGTAATTATCAAACAGAGTTTAGAGGCCTCGGTTATTCAAGTGCCTTTCAATTTCAATATGAAATTATGAGATTACTTCCATGGATTCTGATATGGAGGTATGGTTGCAGGTGGTGTTTGAGTCAGATATTAGGTAAAATTTGAGTGGGAGACTAATGAAAGATCATTTGAGGACAAAGGCAATTGGAAAACAAACATTAATTCCTAATGAAAGAGGGGTTTAGAAACCATAGAGATAGAATTCTAAATCATGAAGTCACAAAGATCTAAGAATAAGGTAGAGTTGCAGTTTTACAGTGTGTACTAGCTGTTCTCTTAACCTGTCTTTGGTCTCAAGAATTTTCTTTTCTTAGCCTCTCACAAACACTGGAACTTGTTCCCTTGATTGTGTAAACACCACAGTTTTTTGTAGGGCTGTGATGTAAACTGTATTACAAGTGACCTAAGTTAAAATTGTTTTTTTTGTCTCATTTGGAGCAAGTGGCATGAAGGAAAGGCAATGGACAGGATAACTTCTTAAGCTGGCTTGCAGTGTCAGAGAAAATATTGTGTAATCGCATCCTGGATAACCCAGAGGTGGACTGAGCTACAAAAGAAATGTTGGGTTCCCAGTGGAATTGGAGGGCACAGGATTGCACAAGACCTATATCCTCAGCTGTGGCCAGTAAAGCTTGTGTCAATCCAACAACTGGCTCCCAAAAGTCAGACTTTGGAACTACTCATCAACTGTGTAAATAGATGCACAGTTATCTTTTAATTGCTGCATACCTGGGTCTTCATAAACCTTTGTAACTATGCTCTCTGTCAGAGAGTTTGTGAAAATGTACTTCTGGCTAATTTTCTCCTAACCTGGCTCCTTCAGTTAAAGGTGATTTCAAGGTAGTTGGCTATCATTAGGGCATTCTATTCCTATGTGTCTTCTCTTACTGGAGACTAGCCCACTAAAACCATGTTTTGGACATTGCAAGGAGGATGGACATGTACTGAATTTCAGCAAGTATTTCATAAGCATACTTGCAGAAGCTGGGGTTAAGCATGTTAGACTTAAGTTTGTGATAGCAGGAGTGCAAAACTTAGTAAAACATACAGGCGCTGTGCAAAGTGGATGTGAAAATGAGCTGGAATCTTCACTTTTCATTGTTACGCATTGGCAGACCTAAAAGCAGTGTGACGAAATAGGTCTACATCAAAGCAGAGAATAAATAAACCA